AAGTTTCAAAAGCTTTTTGCTAGCATTCCTCCAAGAAAACCCTTCAAAACGCTAACAACGATATCCACGCATTAATGACAGTATTTTCCTAAAAACTCTCTGCTAGCTTGCCATTTACTTACCCCTCTCGACACCCCCCATTTTTCCTGTCCCACCCCCTTTAACCTTAACACCATCATTATCCCACTGTTCCGATAAGTCCCATAGGTGGCCCAGGGCCCCAGCCTAGCCTCCACGGGCCCCAGGAGACCCGTCCGGATGGGGCAGGATATTCAGTAGGGGTGGCCAGGGGGCCCAGCCTTTTGCCCCAGGGTCCTCATGAATGGCGGATGGGCCCCCGACACCACACCTGATTTATGTGGGTGCCCCCCGACGGCCAGGAGGAGGGCCTCAGCGATGGGCCCCCAAAAGGACCCCGTTTTGCAAAGATCAAAAGTTGCTTGTCCCTTGAATTTGGTAGAACTGATCTTTTTGCTGAGACTACGGTATCGGGAAGAGTCCCGGTTTTTCAAGGAATCTTTGCTAGCTTGCCCTCCTCCCTGGCTGCTGTGTTTAGAAAAAAAACTGAATTTCCTAAATGTTCTCTGCTGGCTTGCACTCAGCTTTTCCTGAAGGATTTCTGCTAGCTTGCCCTCATCGCAGATTAATTTATTTTGTAAATCCGATTTGCTGAAGGAACGCTGCTAGCTAGCCCCGATTCATTCGTATTGCACCACAGTATTCTATATAGGAGACTTTGGATAATTGTTACTCTTTTTCTCCCTCGCTCCCTCCCTCTCTCTCTCTCTCTCTCGCTCCCTCTCTCTCTCTCTCCCCATCCCCAGAAATTAAATTTTAATAGCTCACATGAAATTTTGAATAACCCATACCATTTTTTGCAGGCCCGAAAATTACCGGCCGCCTGAAATAATTTCGAGCAATTAAACTTTCAAAAAATCGGCTAAACTACCTCCTAACCCTCGAGCTGGGTGGGCCCCAGGAACCCATATTCGGGACCAACCGCCGAGGACCCAGTGCCACTAGGTCCCGAAGCGAACGATGATTGGATATGTCTGTCAAGGGGGACACGATGGGACATCTAGCAATTACCCCTTGAGGCCCAGGGGCCCCGCAGGGGCCATGAAGGCACTACGCCCGTTATTGCGAGGAGATGCCCATTATTATATGCCCTGCCGGCTATTCAGGGTTGCTGAGGCTGCTAAAGCTTAAAAAAGGGTTTAAATGGGCTTGGAAACAGCTAAATCCCTCACTCACTTCTTCTTCTCTCTCTCTCTCTCTCTCTCTCTCTCTCTCTCTCTCTCTCTCTCTCTCTCTCTCTCTCCCTCCCTCTTAAATGCTCCTTTAATACCTATTTTTCAGGCAAACTCCCTCTCCCCGATCCACCTGGATCGTTTGCTCCCTCTAACCGGAACATCGATCAGCTGCCTGCCTCTTTTGTGTTCCTTTAGATATGAGCTGGGGTCATAAATCTCAAACCCGGGCACACCTCCTGTTCATTTGGGGTCCAAGGGTGGTACCTGGTCCAAAACCACTGACAACTACAAGGGAATCCTAGTGACACTCGGAGTGCCGCTTAGACTTAGGTTAGGCTTAGCTTTAGGCTTAGGCCTAGACTTCACTTAGGATCGGCTTAGGCTTGACTTAGGCTTGGTTTAAGCTTGGGCTTGGGCCTAGGCTTCTCTTCAAATCCCTAAAATACCCAATTTCCCCTGAATTTCCGCCAAGCTTTTCCGCTTCCCCCTCTTTCCCGTGGGTATGGTTTCCGTTTCGGGCCGTTGCCCATGCTTGAATGCCTGCTGAAATTTTTTGGTTCACCTGGCGGGATTAGCCGGCACCGGAAAGGGCCCCACACACTTGCTGCCATTTGCACACACCTGTCTCTACACGGTAGCTTTGCCCAGCCGGAAGTTGTTATTATAGCACGTTTTTGTGCTTTTGAGGGCAGGCTAGCAGAGATTCTATGGGGAGCGGGTTGCCTCTTATTACCCCGCTTTTTGGTTGTTCTCTTTAGCTTACTTTGGCTGGTCATCTCACGCTTTTTTCGCGTTCTCCTCGCTCTCAATCTCTCGCCAATGCTAGCTTGCTTTCTCTTGCTCTCTCACTCTTTTTCTTTCTCTCGCCTCTCGCTCTCCCTCTCGCTCTCCCTCTCGCTCTCCCTCTCGCTCTCCATCTCACTGTCTCTTTCTCTCTCTTTCGCTCTCTATCTTTCCCTCTCTCTCGCTGTCTCTCTATTTCTGCCTCTCCATATCTTTCGCTCTAGGATTTGTTCTCTCGCTTGCAGCTTTTTCAATCAGCTTACGCTGTCTCTGGTTTTTCTCTAGTTCGTTCTCTCTCTCTCTCACTCTCTATCGCTCGCTCTCTCTATCTCTCTCGCTCTCTCTCTTGCTCCGTCACTCTCTCTCTCTCTCGCTCTCTGTCTAGCCCTCTCTCTCTTTTTCTCTTCAAAACCTTCCTGTTACCATCCCTTTAACACTCCGAGACCCCCTGAAGCAACAATCCGCGGCCTATAGCCACCTCTTTTTAAGGTGGTCACACGTCTCCCCCTTCCTGTGTGCTTCCGTGAAGCCATAGGGCCCCAGAGAGGGGAGGGCGATAAGTGAGCGGAAACAAGGCCAATCTGGCACCCCCTTGGGGCCCATCTCCCTTCTCTCTGTAGACTTCTAGACTCCTCGGGCCATAACTCCCCCTGGAGACCTCCCGATAAGCAGAGCCCTCCCATTTGCCATATATCGCCCTCCCCAGGCAGGACTCTCGCCTTCCCGCTTCACTAATTGACGTCGTTGGAGACATCCGTGGGGGTACGGTAGCTTTTTCAGGGTTATTTTTTTGGTTTTTGGAAGGTATTTGCCTAAAAAAGCTTACCATCATGACCTAGGTTCTTAGTTTCCTAAAGAATCCTTGCTAGCTGACCCTGGCGTCTTCTCAGGCCCAAATCGTATTACAAAATACTCCAGTTGACACCCGGGGGTCCACCCCGTGAGTCCGCGTGTCGATCTGTTTGTGCGGGCTGTCACTCCCTAAAGCACCTTCAATTCGTCTTGATCACACACCTCAGCTCACTAACTCGATCTCTCTTTCTCTCGGTCTGTCTGTCTCTCTCTCTCTCTCGCTGTCTCTCTCACTCACTTTCTCTCGTCAGCCACACAGCGGCCTCGTTATCTAAACGGAACTAATAATTACTATCAAAGAATTTTTAGGCGGTTTAGGCTTCGTTTAGGTTTATTATAGGCTTGGGTATGGGCTTAGGCTTAGGCTTAGGCTTAGGCTTAGGCTTAGCTTAGGCTTAGGCTTCGGCCTAGGCATAGGCTTTCGTTTGCTTAGGCTTAGGCCTAGCTTAGGCTTGGGCTTAGGCTTAGGTGTTTCCTCAATCCAACCATATGGAGTTGTGTGTGCTGTGGTTGTCGGAAGAGTTCGATGATGCTCTCCTCCGATGGCATCTCCCTAGAGACATCTCTTGCTCCCCCCTCAACATCCACTACAACCGCTCAATCTCACTCACGCGCATCTCGCTGCCCCCCGTTACGCTGGATGCTGTAAAAAATGGGGGTTTCCTCGTTTTATACTTATTTTTTTTTAATTTTTGGTTTTTTTAGCCATTTAGCTACTTTTTTTGGATTTTTGGCTTTAGACTCTCAAAAAATTCAATTTGTATTTTATGGCTCGCTTTTTCTCTCATGCTCATTTTTCAAGACAACAGGGGGCTTTAAAAAACCGGGTGGTGAGGGCAGCTAGCAGAGATCTTTGAGGAAATACAGCGTCAGAAGGACAGGCTAGCATAGATCTCGAGGAAAAAAATAAGGTCGAACTAGCAAAGATCCCGAGAAAATCAAGCGTGTCAGGGCAAACTGGCAAAGATCTTTGAGAAATGTGGCTGTAGGGCAGGCTAGCAGAGTTTTTTTAGGAATGGGCCAAATAGCCGATATCTTTGGGGAAAAAAGAGTGCCCATGGCAAACTAGCAGAGATGCTTGTGGATTTTACGATTCAAAAACACTACTCTGACTTCTGCGTACCTTTAATTTTGCATTAGCGCCTCTCCTCTAAATCCATATCCCCTCCAGCTATGAGCCGGCCACCCGATCCCCCCACCCCGGCTTTCCCCTCCCTCTCTCGTGCTCGAATTTTCAATTGGCGTGTCGATCGAGGCTTTCAGAAGCCGAGAAGGCTTTCCCCCCTATAAGCATAAGGGGTAGGCCAGGTGAAATCGGAGGCAACACCCCGAATGGCCCACCGCTGCCTCGATTCGGTTGTTTGCCCCCCCATCGGTCTGCTCTCCCACTCACTCACGCTCACACACATCAACGCACCTTTAAATAGCCACCCCAAAATTGCGGAGGGCAGAAATCTATGCAAATTCGCAAAAAATCTTTGCTAGCTTACCAGCGAGATTCTAGGAATATTTTTATTCAGCCGAAAATTAGAATTCGAAAAATCAATTTCTCGAAATTCCAAACCGCTGAAATTTAAATTTTTGCGTGTTTTAGATCCATAAATGTCGACAAAATAAAATTTCAAAAAAAATATGATTTTCGATGAAATTATTTTTGACAAAATTAGTTGCAGCTCTGTTCAAAGAATTTATCAATCGGCTCTGCTTCTCAGTGTTGTTCCCTCTCTTTGTCTCTCTCTTTATCTCTCTGTCTCTCTCACTCTCCCTTTCACTCGCTCTCTCTCGCGCTCTTTCACTCTCTCGCACTCACGCTGTCTCACCTTGGCACTCTCGCCCGTGCTAGGCTAGCTTTCCGCCCTTAGTTCCTAAAAACTCTCTGCTAGCTAGCGAGAGAGAGGGAGGGAGGAAGAGTAACAAAGAGAGCAAAAGAGAGGCAGCGATAAGCTCTGCCTACGCTTAGCGTGAGCCTGAGCTCAATATTAGTACCTAGGCCATGTTTTATTCTTCATTTCGGTAGTCTATGATTTTCCTAAACGTTTTCTGCTAGCCTACCCCCAACCTATAAGCCATTTCCAGCGCCTCCACCCGGTGCCCCTTGATGGTGTGATCCGAATGCGGGCGGGGTTCGTGTTGGGGTCGCCGGGGCTGCTCTGTCTGCTCGTCCTGGCCCTGTTGCCCCTCGCCAATACGCAACACGCCTATGCACGAAGGGAGGGAAGGGGTACGGTAATTCAAGAATAAAATAGCGATTTATTTAGTTCTTAGCATTAATAATAATTTTTTTAGCTCGCCGTCGATGCTTCCAGTGCAACATGCCAATACAATGCGAATCCGGGAGTTGTTATGGGGATGTTTGCATAAAATCGTTAGGTTTGTTGACAACTTTCACGCTCTCTGTCTCTCTCTCGCTCTATCTCTCTCTCTCTCTCTCTCAGATTACCTAATATTTTCAGCCAACGGCCGCTACGTCAGCAAAGGATGCGAAAATTTCACCGAGTAGGTTTCATTAATGCACGAATTATCTGGGGCCACCTAGCAGGAAATCTGAGCAAGTAGGCTAGCAGAGATTCTTTAGGAAAACCAGAATCTGGGACAGTTAGCAGAGATCCCTCAGGAAATTCCGACTGTCAGGGGCTGCTAGCAGAGATTCATGAAAAAAATTCCAATCATTCGGGCAGGCTAGCAGAGTTTTTTAGGACATGGCGAGCTAGCAGGGATCCTTGAGGAAACAAAAAAATACCAGCTAGAAATATAACTTTTGAGGGGTGAATGGCGCGAATTTGAGCTGACTGGAAAGTAAGAAGCTACGTAGATCTTTGTGTTTCATTAATGTGCACAGTAGAACAGGCAATTTCACATACCCCAAAGCACCATTAACAATTCGATCAATTAATACAACTTAATACAAATTAATACCATAAAAATTAGCGTTCCTAACAAGGGCGGGTTGGATTAATCCCGAAGGCTATGCTACGCAACTATCGACGCAGTGGCTCATCGCTTTTTTCAGAAACGTGCGCAGCTACCGTAGCCAAGGGATCACGGCGTGGGACCCGAAGCGCGACAAGTCATACTGTAAAACGGAGCAGGTGTTCGGCATTGAGTCGGAGATTTGCTACTGCAGGTGGGTGATTTTATTGAATGGTGGTTGAGTACTGGGCTGTTAGCGGGGGAGGGGACACTCATTTTTTCCGCTTTCCTGTATTTTTCTGCATTATTATTCTGCAATGTTTTAATGGTTTCAAGATCCAGAAAATTACCCAAAAAACCATGTCAGCAGCTTTGAAAATTTGCAAATTTCGGGTACTGGGTCGTTAGCGGGGGGGGGGGGATTTCGATGGATAGTGTGTAGCTATTCCTCATTTCCAGCCTATAGTTATTAATAAATTCATTGTAATGGAATTAATAGTTTTTAATTGCTAAAAATTATAAAAAAATTTAATTTTGAAAATTTGAGATTTTTGTCCCAATTTTATCCATTTTTATGAATTTTGCTTAAGAAATTCATTTTTTCGAAAACTGAAGTACCTGCCAGCAGGGGCGTAGCCAGAAAAAAATTTCGGGGGGGGCCCCCACAAATTTTTTCCAAAAACCATAAAACATTAAAGAGAAAACAGCGCCGCAGGCAAAAAATTTTGAAAAAAAGGTTACATAGCTCTACAAATAGCCGTAAAAACGTGAAAAAATAGCGCCGCAGGCAGCAAAATTTTTGAAAAAATGAAAATCATAAGGGTCCCCCCTTATGAAATTTTCGGGCCCCGGCCGATTTCGGGGGGGGGGGGGGCCCCGGGCCCCCGGGGCCGGTATTACGCTACGTCCCTGCCTGCCAGCATCCCTTTACAGTACTGCCTACAGTATCGCTATCTACCATATCTTTTTCAGCGATTCCGACTTTTGCAACGCGACGCCGACGCCACGCTCCTATCTACTCATCCCGGTTGCAACCTTCTCATTTTTCTTCTTGCTCCTAAGGGTCTAAAAATTATTTCTATTTTTATTTTCCTATTTTCGGTGAATTCCACGGCATTCCGGTCCGATACAGTACGCTACAGTACGCTATTAAGCAAATTTCTCTGGCTAACTTCATATATCAAAAACTTTACAAGGTATGCACTGAGGCTTAGGCTTGGCTGAAAATTAGGCTTGGGATTAGGCCTAGGCTTGGGCTTAGGCTTAAGCTTACGATTAGCTTAGGCTTGGCTTAGGCTTGGGCTTGAGTTTAACCGAACACCTCAGACAGCTTTTCTTAAGCCGAAGCCTACAGAACAATTCCTCACCCCCAAACACTCGGGCTTTCTTGAATTTAGAAAATTTTACTGAAATCCTACATTTTTACACCAATTAAGCTACTGGAACCCCATTTCAATCTCATAAAAAAAACCAAATATTTCCCTTTGCCCACCTCCTCTGCCCCTAATTTCTGTTGCTCACTTCTTGGCCCGTCCACTACACCCAACTTCTGAAGAGATTTGCATGAATTCGTTTTTCGATTTATATCGCGTGACCAATCGATTGCTGTTTTTACTCTTTCTGTTTTTGTGGATAAATACTTCTATTTTTAGTGGCGACACCGGCCATGCGAAATTTATTCGAAAATCATCTGGGTGATTAGCGTGGGGGGGCTCCCCACCCCAATCGACCCCACCCCGCCAAGGCACCAGTACCTGAAAACGACGATTTTGAGAGAGGAAGCCTCTTTTGATCGCTTGCACAAGACTGTCTTTACCTCATTGGTATAATGGCCATTTAAGGTATCCTAGGATACGGTAAGGTATGTATCGTCAAAGGCAGACAAGTAGTCGTAGCATTTCGGAACAGGACTATAGCTCTACATTCGCTCGATTTCCGGATTCTACAGATGGAGCAGCGTCTTTCGATCATCTGGTTTATGGATGAAACAATCCCTTTAACGACTCCAAACTATACACAGTTTTCTTGGAAAGGCTTTTATCAGCGCAGCCTAGGCAGCTGGGCCGTATTTCCGCCAAAGCGCCAAGAGCAAAGAATGTTTTTGAGATAAGCCCAGCTGCATGCGCCAGTGTTTCAAAGCTAGCTAAGCTTCCTATTTTGCAGCTTCTCAGTTTCCAAAAGATCCAGTGTTTAGAATGCGAAGAATTCTCATCTTCCTTGCCCTGTCGGCCGTGGCGCTGGCCGCGCAGGTCCAAGTTCCGCTTCAGCGCGTCAAATCCATGCAGGAGAAGCTGATGGAGGAGGTCGGGTTTCTGATTCTAGATGAGAAACCGTAAAAAAAAAGAGATTCAAAGTCTTTGGGGTCTAAAATGCTAAGGGGATGCCAAGGTTGCATAAAACAGGTTGTATGTGCACGAATTCACGTAGCCTATCACTAAATTTTTCGGCTTTTTGGCTTGTTCATACTTCGGACTGTCGGCATCTTGGGGGAATTTCGCCTGTCGTGATCCTGGCTGTCGGGATTCTTGTAACATTTTTTAGATGCAAAACTAAAAACCCGAAAAGCCATGCTTTCTAGGGTAAATGGGCCGCGTACCAGGCCCAAAAAGAGGCCCACCGCAAGCTGGAGCCTCACATCTTCCAGAGCGGCAATCAAGTCGCCTATGATTATGGTGATGTAAGTAATAAAATGTTATTTTTTAATATAAGTTAACTAAAACCCTACTTTTTAAGTTTGTAACCTTGAAAAAATGATTCCACGATTTAAGCTCGTCTACATCGGCCAGGTGACGATCGGGACTCCCGCCCAAAAGTTTAACCTGATCCTCGATACCGGTATGACTTAGGCTTCGGATTCGGCTTAGGATTAGGCTTGTCGTTCCACCTATTTCGCTACGCTGTAATACCTGATTTTCAGGCTCTTCGAATCTGTGGGTGCCCGACAGTACCTGTGGCGGTATCCCCGGATGCGCGGATTACTGTAATAAGCTGCCAAAGGTCCCGTAGGCCAATTAGCTAAATTTTTTTGCTTTTTAGGACCAATGTGGCCAGTTTTGTGACCCGACAAAGTGCTGTCCAGGTGCGGAAAACATTTTGGCGCAGGACCCGTGCGGTGAGTTGTCATCTCTATATCTGCGTCTGGCCTAAGCGTAGCCTAAGGGAACCAAGCCTTCTCAAGCCTGCACCTAAACGTTTTGTACTTTCAGACCTGAAAAACCGCTACAACCAATCGGCCTCCAGCACGTATGTCAAGAACGGGCAGCGCTGGTCGATCCAATACGGTACCGGCTCGGCACAAGGTTTCTTGGGTCAGGATCGGGTTTGCGTGGGTTTTGCAGTAGTGCCTATAGTTACTTTAATATACGGTCTAGAGTACGGTACCCTGATTTGCACCCCGAATTCCTGTTTAGCTCGGATCATCCGGGGTCTGCTACGACAAGCAAGTCTTTGGACAAGCCACCCAAATCGCCGCTTTCTTTGCGAATCAACCGGTAGGTCTTAGTTTTAGAAGGGATCGGCAAGGCTTAGGCTCAGGCTCAGGCTTAGGCTTAGCGTAGCTTGGCTCTGGCGTAACGCAGTTATCGTAACCCCTAGTGCGACGGCATCTTCGGCATGGCGTGGCCCTCGATTTCCGTCGACAACGTGCCGCCCCTCCTCAACAACGTCGTCTCCCAGCTGGATATGCCACTGTTCAGCGTCTGGCTCGACAGGTACAGTTTGGCTTAGGCTTAGGTTTGGCTTAAGATTAGCATAGCTTAACCCTAAATTCAGGAAGGGGACGCAGCAGAACGTCGTCGGCGGGCTGTTCACCTACGGCGCGCTCGACACCGTGAACTGCGATCCGCTTACGACGTATTATCCCCTGTCCTCGCAGACCTACTGGCAATTCCAGATCGCTGGGTGGGTCAATAAATTGGATACTGTCACGGTCACGCTGGGTAGACGTAAAAATTAACGATTACCTTATCTAATTACTTTTTCTAGAGTTTCGCTCGACACCTACAGCAGCAAAGTTGCCTACCAGGTCAGTATATTTTTTTCCTGTTCGTGTTGTTCGGGTGTATGTTCATCTACTGCCGCTTCTAAAGGGACAGTGACAGCCAAAAAACGGAATTTTGAGGTCATCTCCGACACGGGCACCTCCCTCATCGGCGCCCCGCAAGCCGTCGTCGACGCCGTCGGCAAGCAGCTCGGCGGGGTGTTCAGCCAATATTACGGAGCGGTAAGCTAATTTATAGTTGCTGCTTTATTTCTAAGAAGAATATTTAGCTTTATTTTAACATTTTAATCTCTCCAAAAAACCATTAGAATTACAGTACACAATCTCGTGCAACGCGACGACGCCCGATCTGGTGATCAACATCGGCAACAACCAGTACCCCATTAGCTACCAGGAGTATATTGTGGGTCTATGAATGCGTTTTGTTCCAGTTAAAAAGTTTTATTGGGAAGTATTGATTGGCTGGTAGATTATAACATTTTTTGGTAATTTTACAGGTCCCCCTTGATGGGCAATGCATCATTGGGCTTTTCGGCTTTGAATTCGGCGGATTTGGGCCCCAATGGATTTTGGGTAAGTGTAAATGCACGTAAAAAACATATTTTTCGAAAATTTAAGCTCATAACTCTTATACGAACATCCAAATTAACTTAAAAACTTTATTTTATGATGCTTTAATCTCTAAAAGCTGGTTTTATAAAAACTAAAAGTTTTTCAAAGCTCAAAATCAAGGCAAATCATGGCCAAATCTTTAAAAAACTATTCTAAAAATTGCAGGCGACCCCTGGATCCGCTCGTGGTGCAACGTGTACCACATTGGACAGGCGAAAATCGGTTTCTCCAAGGCCAGACATGTATGAAACGAATAAAACAGTTATTTTGCAACTTTTAGACGGCTATGACATAGTATTAATGCGAAAAACGTGCATTAATTGTTTATAGAGCATTGTATTCTTATAAAACTATATAAACTAATAAGAAATAAATAATATCTTAAATATAATGCTTCTTTACGGCGGCTTCAATCTCGTCCAACGACGAAAAGAGTTTGTCTCGGAAAAGCTCTTGAGCGGCTTCTTTTTCAGATGTGGCGCCTGAAACCTTGTTTTGTATAAATTTTCCTATAGAACTTTAAGGGAGTTACCTGGAAAATCTCTAAAAATTTTATCCTCGTAATAAAAGGCGATCGGTAGACTGATCAGCCCCATCAGCGGCATGCACTTTTCGTGTTCTTGCAAAAACTGAAACGTAGCCTTACTTTATAAAACCTAGAAACGTAAAAATACCTCTTCGTGACCTTTCCAGGGCAGTAGATGGTGCTTCACCTCTTTTTCCATCGTTTTATAGTAGTAGCGCAATAGTTCCGCTTTGCTAAAACTTCGTAAAACTTCTCTTATCTTTTTTTCTTTTAGATAAAGTACCTATTCTGATAGTCGACTGGTGATAATGAAGCCGAAATGAATTTACTAATATCCTCCGTAGCGCTGGAAAGGTGGACGAGCTGCAATTACATCAAATTATCCTATTTTTATCGTTTTTTTTCATACCTGCCAATCGATAATTCGCTCCAAAACTAAATTTCCAGTGCCTTCGTCACGTCTCCACAACAAATTACCCAACCACAAATCGGCGTGGCACAAAAATTGGTTATTTCCTAAATTTTTGAGGCCTTACGGGGGGGGGGGTTCTCACCTGAAGTTGCCATCACTTGAGCTAGGATTTCGTACCTTTCATAGATTGGCAATAGTTTTTTACAAACTTTAATTTGGTCCTCTCGCTCTGGGAACTTTGCGACAATTCCGTCTAGACCGGCTTCGATTTTCTAAAGCTTTTTTCTTTTTAGAAAAAGACGTGCTCTCGAATTATCGGGAAGGGGCAACGCTATTTCTTAGTATTTCTAAGAGTAGAAACTTCACAAATTGCTGTGAAAAAAACCTATTTTGATGTAAGATGGGATTTTCAACCAAATTTAAAAATGTTTGATTTTTTCAGGATAAATTCCATTTAAAAAATAGGTGAAGTTAATAAAACACACTCTTTCGCTGCTAGGCATTTCTGTGTGTACAGGAAAAAAATTGCTCCCCCCCCCCTGATAATGCAAAAGGACCGCGTTTTAGATAAACAAAAAAACATCGTCTACCTCCCGGCTAACGTAAATCTCCAAAATCTCATCAATCATTTTGTGTGCATTTTCTTGACCATATCCGGGTTTTTAATAGCTAAAATCCGTCAAGCCGTGAATATGATAACCTACAAAAAGCGCCTATTTTCGCTAATACATCCAATACTTGCTTGACCTCATCAACGCCAAGTACCCCGTAAGCCGGTAGGCAGACAGCGCCTTCTAGAAATTCCATCGCCAAATAGCCTAAACCATACTTTGTTTTTCCTTTTTTTATACCTACCGGCTTCCAGAGCTTCATCAAAGGCACGGCCGCAATAATACGCCGGAAGCTTGGCGATTTCAGCAAATTCGGGGCATTCCCGCGCCCTTTCATACAAATTCCACTCGGCGTTGTGCATCTGGAGCCCACTTTGGTACTTCGGCAATCTTTTTCATATGCATAACACGATTTTTCTAACTTTAAATATAGAAACAGCTTCAACACTGTTGTCTGATATTCCTAAGAGTAAAAACGTTACAAATTTTTATCCAAAATTCCCATTTTCAAACATTTACCTGAGTTTTCTAAACAGTTTTTAGGTTGGAAATATAGTTAAATTTTATCAAAATCACCATCAAGTGCTTGCTATTACACTAGAAGGCAAATGTAGTATTATCGAGGCAAAATCAGCGCTACCCCGCCCGATTTTCAAAAACACCCCCACCTCTAAACCAAAACAAAAAGCCCTACCCAGGCTGCCCGTTCCTTCTCTCCGCGGAAATTCATCTGCGCATTGTTTGCGCCGACGCTCTTGAATTTATCACAACTGATGATTTTTAGAAGAGCTGTTTTCGGCAGGACCTCTTCTTTCGTGTCCCAATCAAAATCGGCCCTGATTAGCAGCGAGGTGTTGCCCTAAAACACAATTTTTTAATTTGACAGCTTTGTGTGAAAACAGGGTTGATCCAACCTTCTCGCCGTTTTCGATCATACGAGCGTCTCTATTTGGGCCACAGCGTGAAGGAACTTCAAAGGCCTTTTGAAAATCGGTCTCAACCATTTCCCAAGTGATCGAAGTGCCCAGAATCTGGTCCTCGATAACAAAGTTTGACTCTCCCGGCATTGTTAGGCTAAAATTTTTAGAACGACCTTATTTTGCGCAAAAAATGGTAAAAAATTAGAAAAATTCATGTCGTAACCGATTCTAGGACGCTAAAGCGTGCTCGTATACAGTGGGAATAGTATTCCAACGGAATCAAATCAAAGTTTTGGGTCCGAACTGAACTTTCGGTTTTATTTTCTTTCTTCCGATTGCACAACGTTGTGCTAAAGCTTTAATTTGATCTTCTGAAAACGCTAACTAGAGTCTTCTTTCTTTGGATTCACTTTTAAGGCCTTCTCGGATTCTCAAGCTTCTAACGTCTAGTTTTTATACATTACTGCGAGCAAACCATTGTTCCGTTCCTCTTTTCCTTTGTTTATGGCGCCCGGATCGCGCTATTACGCTCACCACCCAAAAGTCAGGGTCCTGGCGCGGCGGCCTTGCGCCGGTCGATCTAAATGCTAGAAAGGCCCCAAACCCATGGCCTCTGCCATCGTCGCTTTGTCGAATCAGGCTTCATCTAGGATAGTGAAAAGATAATTGCGGTTATTTTGAATGTACAGGGGGTTGGTTATATGCTTAGCAAGCCCGAGATCATATGATAGAATAGAAATTTGGCTCGGGAAGCCGTGTAGAACCTTGCAGAAATTATTGACAGCCGGGTAAAATGTTTGACAACCCGCGGCATTATTCTGGATTTGCAGACGGGGTTGTCTTTCTCATCGAAGCTTGATAAACCAACCTTTCTCTATTTCTCGCTTTCCTAACTTTTTTTGCTATGTTTCGCTGAGTGTATGATACGTTGAATTTTCAGCTTGCTAAGATGTCCTCGTCTGTTGAGAACAACCAAAACGCCAACTTCAACCCTTCGTGGTAAGCTTTTCTTGGCTTTCGCGGTGTTGTAAAGCTTGTATTACTCAATTGGTTTGTTTTTGCAGGATGAAAAGCCCGGCCAACAACGGCGGCGGCGGAGGAGGAGGGGCTCCTGTTGGCCAAGGGCAAGTATGGCGTCTTCTAGGTGATCCCACCGACGGCTCGGTATCATTTTCCGAAAAGATTTTACCTCCTCTCCTAGGATTATCCGCTTGCCACCCCGGTGTTCGCCAAGCATCGTTACGGACGGGAAGAAATGCTGGCCTTAGTGGGGAAGGACAGTGAACCACCCGAGGGGCTGCAACAATGCGCTGAGCTCTTTGTACCCCAGCATCAGCCGCCCATCACCATTACGTCGTTGTCTGAAAGGGAAACTGTAAGGAAGGGCTCATTTTACCATGATTCTTCCATTTTTAGAGCATGGTCCAGACCAACATCAATTCCTCGAAGGCGATGAGTTCCCTGACTCCAGCCGAACGAGCCCAGGTTCCCGCATCATTTTTCTTTCATCAACTATGTTTAGGTAAACGGCACAAGCGGCAGTGGCTTCCAGCGTGGCACCCCCGCTCAATCAAGCGGTGGCGGCTGGACGCCGGTCAAGTCGAGTTGGGGCACCCGAGGCGCCAGCACTGTAACGCGCGGCTCAACAACACCGGGACGTGGCGGATTCGGTGCTGGAACTTACGGTGCCCGTGGCGGCGCCACACCATCTGCTGGCGCTGTGAATGATGATGGTAGCTCGCAATATGGGCAACGCTATGGTGATCATTTATGATTTATTGGAAAACTTTTTACCAGCTTAGAAAATGTTAGAAAAAAAATGAAATTTTGTGGAGATACCCTGAAGAATTTGTTTTGACGAAAAACGGTGTGAGAACACTTCATTTATTTACAAATTTTATATGATAAACAAAAGTTTCTCCCCTCCCACTGCAATACTAAAAAAATCAAGTAGTATAAAAATTGATCAATTTTTAGTGCCTCGAAGCGCTCGCGGCACGCCTCCCTTGGGCCGCGGCGGATCCACAGCTGCTGGTTCCTTCAACACTCGTGCCCAGAATCTCTACGATCCACGTGATCCAAAGGACCGCCCTCGTCAGCGTCTCAGGAGCACCAGCGATGATGACGTTACAAATCTGGGGACGCCCAGCTCAAACAATGGGTAGCTTCACCCTTCCGGCTCGGAACTTTGTTTTCAGCTGGCAAACCGTTCGTGGGCCGAATCCTATCGGTTCCAATAATGGCTGGAGTCGTCGGACGACAAGGGAAGAGGAGCTGCCCGAGTGGTTCGACCATAAAGAAGAGGAGGACAGTGACAATATCCTTGACCGGTATTGCGAAACACCTGTGTTTGTTATTAAAATTTTAGTGACTCTGGTCATGAGCGGACCAATTCAAACCCGGAGCGAAGCAAGGAATTGCCTCAACGAGAAGCGCCACCGAGGGAGATAGAGCAGCACGAGCGTCCGGCTTGGGCTCGCCAAGTCTCCGCTTCTGGGCTTAGTGCCGCTCAACAGGCGGTCAGTGAATTTTGTCGATAAGATTGATCTGTGCGTAGACCTTGGATCTCGTCCTCGAAATTTTAAAAGGCAATATTTTCTTTATTCTTCCTTCATATTTTTTATATTTTGCACATCTTATTTATTTCCCTGTCTTTCAGGCTGCTGAGGCCGCAGGTTCTTCGGCGAATCCCGCCTACCAAGATCTTTATAAACGTTCCCAGCCGCAGCAAGCACCTTCCCCGCCGGTATTTCCAACCACGTTACTGAACTGTTTTTTTTTTCCAGAAACCGGCGGTTTTCTACTACTTGGACCCGAGTCAAGTCGAGCGCGGACCCTTCGAGAAGCAGCAGATGGACCAATGGTTCAAAGTCGGCTACTTTGAGAGCAACCTGCTATTGCGCATGGGCACCGAGGGCGAATTCAAAACATTAGGTTGGTTGCGGGGGACTTGATTTTACCTCAATTTAGGGGAGCTCCAAAAAATCAACGGGGCCGAGACACCGTTCGACTTCAAGGAGCCCACTCCTCCGCCTCCTCAGCCCGCTCCAGTTCCGCATCATCCTAGCCAATACGCTGGAATGATGGGGTAAGTCTCTTTTTTACAAATTTGTAGCCACTTAGTTATATTGGTTTTTTTGTAATTGGTCTATTTTCCAGTTGGCCTTCAAGCGGCGTCGACTACTTGTATGGACAGGGCGCTCAACAGACATTTAATCATCCAGCCATGTACAGGGTCAGCCAAATCCGGACTTCCTTTTGACTTGATTTTCAGGATATGCACCCCGCGCAGCCAGTGTACCGCCCAGATGCCGAAGAGATGATGGCTCGTCTCTTGAAACAACGCGAGGAAGAAGAGCAGCGCCGTTTGGAACTCCAGGTTTGGCTTTAAATTAGACTGTAGTTAGTGTTTTTAGAACAAAGAGGAACAGCTACGCGCCTACCAGGAGCAAATTGCCCTCCGCGAGGCCCAGATGAAGGAGGAAGCCATGGAGCTTGCAGCTCAACTTCTTCGTGAGCGCGAAGAACTGGCGGAAAAGGCTCGTCGGGTTGAAGAGCAGCGACTCGCTGATGAACAGAAGCGACAAGAGGAGCATGAGCGGGTAGGATTTTAAAGTTTTTAGCCTTTTGATTGTAGGAAAAACTTAGATTGTTTTTTAGCGTCGTGCCGAAGAAGAGGAAGCTCGTCGTGCCGTGGAGCTCAAGCGTGAGGAAGAGGAACGAAACAGGAAGCGTGTTGAAGAGGATGACAGGCGGTATTGAAACATTTCTTACCTTACGTGGTATTTTTAGACGGAGGGCAGAACTTGGTGCGGAAGCTGAACGGAAGCGCCTGGAAGCCGCCGCCCGTGAAGCTGCCGAAACGTTGAAGCAAAAGGAGTCCGAGAAACGCCGTCGGGTCAGTACTTCTTTCTTACTATTAGCTCGGTACCTGGTTGAAAATTGTTAAGTGTCGGTTCAGGAGGAAGCGGCTAAAAAGGAGCAAGAAAGGAAGAAGCAGGTTGGGCAAATAATCCTTCGCTGCTGATTTTCCACTATCTGCTAGGATCTTTGGGACTTTCGGCTCTTATAGCTACGCTTTTCTAGATCGTTCGGTGCACTGCCTGATTTTTTATCATAGTTTATGCACTGGGTCATGTCGGGTTGCCGCTTGACTTGTTTTTCTATAGGATTGTTTTAGGATGACGAAACCGCTCGTCTTGCCGAGCTCAAGGCTGCTCAAGAAGAAATGGAGCGCTTCAACGTCACGGAGGCCTGGGAAGTGGCTGGAAAGCCGAAGAAAGAGGAGAAGAAGGAGAAAGCTAAATGTGGGTATCGCTTGATTGTTTTGGAATTGTTTTTGTAGCTGCACCATGGACGGGGGCCACCGCCCAGCGCGAAAAGACGATGGCCGAGATCATGGAAGAAGAGGAGCGCGCCGCTGCCGCGGAACGCAAACGCGTCGAGGCTATTCGCAAAGAAGTGCGCCAGATTTTCAAACTTGATGGGAGTGTTTAGGAGAATCGTCAGCAAACTATCCTCTCCTCTGCCACTTGGTCTGGCGCTGCCTCGCGGATTGCTGCTACACCCAAGCCGCGTTCTCCGAACACTCCTACTGTTTGGGCGGCCGTCCCAAGTGAGCCAGCTCGGGTCAATCCTCTTCTCGACGGTCCTCCGCTTCCGTCCGCTAAACCAGCTGCCAAGAAAGCGCCGGCTCCTGCCAGGGCTGCACCTGCCGCGCAGGCAAAGAATACTGTATGGTTTTTTTCCACTTTCAAAACAAACCTTTTTAGAAGCCTGCCGCTCCAACGCTGCAACAATGGGCTATCACTCGCATGAAGCAGCTGAATGCCAAGGTTGAAGCTGATGTTCTCTACTCCTTCATTGCTGACTTGATGGACCCGGGCGAGGTAAGCCTAGAAAAAGAATGTCAACGTTTTTCTTAGGTCGATGATTATGTCACTGGCTATTTGGGCGACACCAAGCAAGTCAAGGAGTTTATTAAAGACTTCATGAAGAAGCGCAGCGACCTTCGTGGTGGCAAGAAGGTTGAGGTTTGGTGCAGTAATTTAGTTCGATAATTGTTCATTAGACGACGACCTCCACTCAGCAAAGTTCTTCTTCGGAGTGGGCCACCGCTGCTCAGTCGGGTAAAAACAAGAAGAAGGGCAAGGGCCGTACCATGGTCGTTGACGGTTCCTGCCTCGGGTTCACGCCGGCCGGCGATCCCAATCGCACCAACAAGGTTTGTTTGCCGGAATTAGTGGTGAAAAGGAGGCTTGTTTAGTGGCAAAACGTAAAATTTTTCGGTTTCCAAAGTCCATTGTCACTAAAAAGCGTCTCCTTCTCGGCTTACGTTCAATAGATCTCGCTTTTCAGGGTGAAATTGAGACCGTGCCGCTGGTTCCGAACGCTCGTCGTTAAGCCGTCGTTCGGGCGTCCAACATTGTCGCTTCACCGCTTGGAGGAGATGTGCCCCTTTCCCCAGGCAATGGTCACTTTTTAAAATTCCTTTCTTGTGACGAGAGTTTTGCCTTTTCCGTAAGTGACCATTCGCCTTCTGTCAAATGTCCCCCTGCCCCGCCCCGTATTTCTGTAAATTATCTGTTATCCTTGGGTATGTGTCGTTGTTCTTCCACCCCTCACTCGCCGTCACCGTTTTTCTCGCTGTGCTTTATCAGCCCTCACACACCACCATTCCCTAGTCAGCTACCAGGCTTGACAACTTCTGGCCGCTCGTTTCTGGTCTGCGGGGTTTTGGTTTAAAGTGGGGTTATAATTTTTAGAAGATTTTCGAAATCGCTAATAAAAACAGCAGGCTACGAACATCCTAGGATGGCTAGAATTTGTCAGGATCTGCCAGTTAGCCACCCGCTTCCCCGCAACAATCTCTAATCACGCTTTTTCGGTGACTTTGTCAGCCTTGTAGTCTCAGTTGCCTTATCGATGCCCGGTGGCCGCCCCCGGGCAATTAGAGCATTGATTCTCGATGTACCCAGGGCTTTTCTGGCTTATCCTGTCGGACACGCCGTCCTAGCTGTTTGTTCAATCCCCAGGTGTCCGCGTGGAAATGCAGGAAAACTGTTAGGGCGACATCACACCGGCCTGCCCAGGGCCTCTTTTTCGTGTCATCCCAAAAATATGGCCCTGAGCTTACCCATTTCCGTCCCCCCGCCCCCATCCCCTCCAGCCGTTGAAGCGCCGGCGTTGTGACCGTTGTTGTCCTATTTGACTCCTCTCCAGACCTGTTTTTATCATAGGGTGCCCGGGTCCAGCCCGCACCTCAATGTTGTTTTATCTTACCTTGGAATAAAGTTATTTCTATATGGCATGCTTGAATGGCAAGGAAAGGCATTCGGAGAAAAAAGCGACTTTGTTCTTGTGCGGCGTAGCTTTGAAAACGTATCCCTCGGCGTCGCTCTCACAGTTTTTGATCAGTGGGCGAAGACGGGCCTTTCAATCCTTGAAATTCCTGATTGGCTAGGCTTGACATCCGCTTCTATCGATCATTTTGAGGTGATATAATGACTGTCGGCGGCCCAACCATCACCCTGCCCGATGGCCATAAGATGCCTCAAGTTGGGTTGGGAACCTGGCAAGTGAGTGTTGGGATAATTTTGGTTTTGGGGCTATTTAACGGTTTGGAAAGATTACTTCTGATTTCGTTTGATTTAGTCGAAGCCCGGTGAGGTCGAAGCGGCAGTGAAAGATGCTGTTAAAGCCGGATATCGGCTGATCGACACTGCCGTGTGCTACGAGAATGAGGCCGAGATTGGCAACGCGCTCGAGGTACGGAACATTGCATTCGGCTTTAATTTCTTTATAGGAGCTGTTCAAGGAGGGCGTCGTCAAGCGCGAGGAGATCTTCGTCACCACCAAGGTATAATATAAGGCATTTATTGATCTTTATTAATCCCCATATTTAGCTATGGACCACCCACTTGAACCCTGAGCGCCAGGAGGCTTCCCTCAAGGAATCGCTCTCGGATTTGAAGCTGGAATATGTCGATTTGCTCCTAGCGCACATGCCGACCGCTTTTAATGTTGGAAACCTTTGTTGACCATTTTACCTTGTTTCAGGAGGACATGTCTGGACATGAAACGAATGTCAAAGTCGAACAAATTTGGCAGGGGATGGAGGAATTAGTCAAGAAGGGCCTCGTCCGCTCCATCGGTGTCTCCAATTTCAACATTGAGCAGGTTGGCAGTTTAAATTTGGCTAGAATAGTGTTTTAGATCGAGCGCGTCGTCAAAGTCGCCAAGGTGCCGCTTGCCAACGTGCAAGTTGAGCTGTACATCTACCTTCCCCAACACGAGCTCCAAGAGGTCTGCAAGAAGCACAACATCTCCTTGACCTCCTACGCCACGCTTGGTTCCCCTGGTCGCGTCAACTTTACGCTCAAGAGCGGAGCGTAAGTTTTTTTGAGAAAATGATTGAACTGTTTGTTTAGAAAACTCAACTGGGCCCCGGCACCTAGCGCTCTCGAGGACGCCGCGGTCGTCGAATTGGCCAAGAAGCACAACAAGACCCCAGCCCAGGTAGAAACCCGGATAATTCGAAAGATCTTGTAATCAGGTGCTTTTGCGTTGGGCTATGGACCGAGGGATCGCCGTCATTCCAAAATCCGTGAATGCGGACCGCATCAAGCAGAACTTCGAGCTCTTCGATTTCCATCTAGAGAAGGTCTGTTCCTGTTGCTTTTTATGCTATTTTCAATTTCAGGATGAAGTCGAAAAACTCAACAAAGTCTCCCACCATCAACGTCTCTTCTTACAAGATTTGTGAGTATTTCCCGCTTTTTGTTCAAAATTTACCTCTTTTAGCATGGAGGGCCACCCCGAAGATGCATTCGCCAACGAACGCCAGAAGGTGTAAACCCGAGTTCCATTTTTAACATTTAGTTTTCCCAATTGCTTTATCCGCATGTTGTTTACGAGTTGTATCGTTCTCTTTTCCTTGTGATATATGCCGAGTCCCGGTTTCTGAATAAAGTTTTTATCGCCGATTAAGCAGCATACAAGAAAAGTTACATGTAAAATCTTGGTTTTACTTGGAAAGAACCGTGGTCGGCGTTGCAACTCCAAAGGTTTAGTGTGACATTTTATGCTTCGGATAGCTGGGCTGATCCAGGTCCGCCGGTTGAGCACACAGCCACCGCATCAACGGTTGTGGGAAATTGCAAAAAGATATGTGTTACCGGTGCGTAGTAGATTTAATTTTTACATCAGTTCATCTTCAGGATCCAGAAAACGTATTCGCGGCCCGCGAGCTCGAACGATTGCATAAGTGGGATCAGATGGAGCAAGAAAAATTCTTATTAATCTACCGAGATATAGGTATCGACATTTTCGGACCGTTTATCTGGTTTTTAGCGGCTTCAAAATCGCACGGGGTCATGGGATTCGCGGCCCCTTTTATATTATTAGGTATTTTTTTGCTTTCAGTTTTGTAGAGCTGCTTTAGGCACATTATTTTTGGGGTACGAAGTGTTTGCCAAGGAAAACGAAGATCGGTACTGGACAACAAAGAAATTTTTGGCCGATGTGGACGAGGTGCGGCGCGCTACAAATTTTATACTATCTTTTTCCAGCTCGGTTATTTTGCCTGCCTGCCCGGGCTCGCCTTTGTCGTCGTGATCATTACCCTTATCCGTTTCCAGCATTTGCGCGTCCAAAGAATATATCAAAATAGGTAAAAGCTTGGATTGCCAACATTAATTTCCATTTAGGTCTAACCCTGAAGAGTTCACAGCCATCGTCACGAAAAATTTAGTTATGCAAGGAAAGGTTAGATGCCGTACTTAGTATCATTTTCTGTTTTCAGCATCAATTCCATCGATCGAAATGTGTACCTTTGCTGGCGGAGTACTCCAATGAAAATCACAAATTGTTGATCGACGCTTTCCGCGGAAATGTGCAATTAGGATCAAGAAAGTAAATTTTGTTTCTCTATTATTTTTATTCTTTATATTTCTAGTGCAGTCCTCAGCTCCGAAGACTTTTACCGGAACAACTACCGCACCTACATGCTTCAGGAGACAAACACGCCCCCAACACTATAGATTTATTTGTAGTTTTTATAACTCACGGGTTTTCACGTTGAATTGTTTTTAGGGTTTGCTTTAGCCGACTCATAGGTCTTGTTTTTGTTGTCCTCTCATTTTTCTGCGAATTTTCGTTTGATTATTTATACGGAACAAGGTATTCGACTGCAAATGCTTGGGTAACAGTTTTGAGCTTGCCGAGATCAATGCATCAGTTGGGGCCAACCTCTTCCGGGGTGGTGTCGGCACGGAGAATGGGACGACTGCCGCGTACCACGTCACTGCCCGTACGCCTAAAATTGAAAATCCAAGAATCGCCCGGCTGAGTTCGACCGAGATTTCGGCCCTAATTGCGAGGCCACCCTACCTCCTCAGGGACATTAGGGGCGGGAGACGGACTCCGGCAGTTTTCGGAGCCGGTTGCTGGTCCTCCTGGGACCAGGGCGATGAGCGGAATGCTAAGTTGGTTGTTTATCACACGAATTAACGGGGGTTACGGTAGGGTTCAAGTCGGCGGAATGACGCGCTATGGTATTGAAAAGTACGGGCTTACAGCGTGGCTACTTGCAGCAAATACTATTTATGGAGAACCTACAATTGTCCGGTTTTTCCGGTTCCTCCTTCCAAGTGGAGAACGTGTCGCCGGCGGGCGGACCGCGGAAGAGCGAGCTGGCGGCCGATTCGTCAACGGATTCCTAGAGGATACAGTAGGTTTTAAGTTTTTCAAGCTTTGTTAACCTGCGATTCGTAGTTCTTGCGCTCGATGGGGTGGCGAAGGCGGGCGATTAGCTCGTCGCGTTCTTTGATGCGAGGATCCTCCTGAAAAATTTTTTGAGCGTTAGACATGATTTATCGGCTTTAATTACGAGCGCGTAAAGCGTCTAGACCGTCTCAGCATCATTTGAAAAGCAACACACTCACCTTTTTGCCCACAAAATTCAGCACGCTCTCCTTGAGCGACGAGATGAAGCCGCTCGGTGGAGTCTGAAAAATCGTTTTTGATCTGGAAAAGGCAGAAAAATATAAAGCTAGATAAGATCAAAACTTCTTGACCTGCGGGGGTGGTGTTGGCAGTGAATCCGCGGAAATTGTGCGCTGGTGCGCGATGAAGAGGCGGCTATGCGAGGACCTGAAGAAAAGGCTCCATTAACTATCAAGATACTTATAAAAGATCGCAGACCCAAAACCCCCAGCCTACCGCTTGCTACTCATTTTCACTGGTGGCGTCGGGGAATCCAGGTTTTCCGCACAGACAAAGGCCCTCTCGAAAATAATGTGAGGAACCGGGCAGGGATGCCCAAATTCGAGAAACCGAAAAAAATTTGTAGCAGCAGCCGGCCGGCCGGGGATGAGGAGGAGGAGGCGGGGACCGGAGGTGTCAATTTGTGGCATTCCACAGCGTTTACAGGGCAGGGGGATCCCTGGGGGGAAATGGGCCTCTACGCCCCGGGCCGCAATTAGGGCCCCACGATTTGGGGTGCGTTTTCAGATTTAAAAATATGGAATTTTAAATGGGGGTAGAACTTATTAAAGTTCGTGCGCATTTTCCGCGTGGAAACCGAATTTTTTTCAAAGTTCGTTCCTTGTAGAAAAGCTTTGGGCATATTTTGATCCTAGTTTCAGCGCTTGTGCATTATCAGGGGGGGGGGCAATTTTTCTATAGGACTCAATTTTTCTGATATAAATAGAGGCAGCTTCTTTAAACCGTTTTTTTGTTATTACTAAACGCAAGAACCTTTACAATTTTGATCATAAACAAAAAAACGGTTTTTCCACACAATTTTCAAAATCTTCAAAGTGTGAAAAATAGTTTGTCCACATGAAATCTATTTTAAATCTACCACAAACACTAAAAAGCTAAAAAGCCTCGCGTTAATGGCTTTTCCATCATGAAACTTTCAATGCTTCTGCCACAACTACAAAACCTTACAAACCTCGTGCGCCGTATCCGGAAATCCTTGTGCGGGGGCGCTCGGCGAGGGATCTTATCCCGATTCAAGCGTAGATGCATCGCACCGGGCGTCTCCTAAACGTCAAAATACTTCATACAAAATAGTACGTACCACAATGTCAATTTGTATGTCCTGCTCGCTCGTCTCGGCCTCGGAGTTCATGTCGGTGCTGATCGAGGTCGCGCGGGCCAACAGTCCTTGCCGCGAGTTCTGGCGGCTCTGAAATTATGCTGATAATTTGGCCGTCAGTTAAAAAGGACAAACGGGAAATGGGCCAAAAAACGTTGATTTCCTTCGAGGAGCCCTTTTCGTCGGGAGCTGCTGATTTCCGGGCGGGACTTCCAATTCGAAAAGGAGCTTCTAGGTGTAATTTTTGAAATTCTGGCTTAGGGACTTTTAAATCTCAAATCGGAAGAAGTGGCACAACATTGGCAAAACCATACTAAGAATCAGCAGTTCTTCGGCAACTTCTTCAAAAATTCCTAATCAGATTCCAAAATTTTTTACGGAATAGAGAAAGCGTTTCCACTTTGTCTCTTTGTTATTCAGAAACGTCAAAAGGTTTCAATTGTTAGTGAAAAATACAAAACCTATTTCGAGGAAAAATGCATGATTTTCGCTCGTTTCGAATTTAAAGTATTTTGCTAGGGTTTCCAAATAACTTTCCACTTGAAATATAGCAAAATTTAATAAAAACATTAAATTTACATTAATAAACATTTCTGGATTCTCAGGAACTAAAATTTGTTTTCCGCGTCACCAATTGTGCTTGCGTGAACGCACCTCAAAAATACCGGTTCTTGAGTATTCCCGGGGGGGAAAGAATTCGCGGGGGGAACTGAACTTTTTTTGGCCTAACAAGGGAAGGTTGTTTGGGTCAGGTGTCAAATCGACTTGAAACTTTGCCAGTGGATAGAAAATCAAAAATAAAGTCGAGTTTCTTAATCTCATTTTTTGCACAATACCCCAAATTTAAAAGTTATAGGTCTTTGAAGTTACATAAAAAAGCACGAAACGACCCGACAATTCTGACCTGGTCCTCATTGTGGCCTGCCCCCTTTTCAAGCTCTTGCGTCGCCCAGACTGGCAAGCTGTTTGGCGCAGTAGGTAGTGCCGTAGAGTGCAAAAACTTTTAAATTTTTGTAATCGAGTTCAAGTCTTTGATGCCTCCAACTTTTTGCTTTATGGGTTTTACGCCAACTAACCCTAATTTGCAAGAGCAAAAAGCAAAAAGCAAAAGGATAGAAAAGTTTTAGTCTCGAACTTCTGCAAAAATTTTTTCAAAAGAGTGTGAGTCAAGCGCACTACCGATTGCGCTAGAAGAGACCTGGGGGAGCGGAGACGAGAGGGGGTCAAGAAATCACGCATCAAGAAAATGTGAAACGGTGTGGTATTGGTGCAAAAGCCTGCGCAGAACTCATTTTTCAGACCACAAACTTAAAATGCTTATAACTTTTTAATTAGGGGTATTGTGCAGAAAACGACTTAGCGCACCTTGTTCCGTTTTCACTTTTCTATCCACTGGCCAATTTTCAGAAAGATTTGACACCTGACCCAAACAACCTTCCCTTGTAAGCCTAGATTTTTTATATCAATAGTGGAAGTGCTTCTAAATTGTTTATAGCTATTCCTAAACATAAAAACTTTACAAAATTTAATTAAAAAATTTAATTTTAGGTCGAAAAATCGATTTTTTCGGGCCAAAAATGACCAAATTTTCGACTTTTTCAAGCGTTTTTCTAACTTTTTAAAAAGTTTTTCCGATTCAAATAGGCTTAAGTTTTGCTAAAAACAATGTGAAAACACTTTATATTTGATTACTATGCCCACCAGGGCCAACAGAAAAAAAAGGGCCCGAAAAAAAACAGAAAAAAGGTTCCCCCCCGCGAATTCTTTCCCCCCCGGGAATACTCAAGAACCAAAATACCTTACCGGTCTCCGTTCCCGCGTCTGTATCTGCGCATACGCCTCGATCAGCTTCTCGACAGTCGTGTTGTCCAACTGGCGAGCCAGCTCGATGGCGGTCAACCCGTCCTTGTTTTTCATGTCAAGTACCTAAGAGATAAACGTTTTTTAACGTATCTCAGCAAAACCTGGGACAATTTTCCGGCTCTTGTGGCCATTGCGAGGATGGCCTTCACGTGGTTCTGCCGATCGTCAACGGTGGCCAGCATCAGAGCCGACAGTCCGTTACTGTCTTGCCAAGTGACGTCGAGGAAAGCCTTGAAAAACGTAGGTAATCGCGTAAAATGATAAAACGTAACTTTAATATGCAAAATCCACAAAAAAAATCGATTTCTCAGGACTAAAATATCAAATTCGCTTCAAAACCTACCAGGTTCGGATCGTCCATCACGTTGTTGATGTCTGGGATCATCAAAGGGAACTAAAAAGCTTCCATTTTAAGCATAAAACGGAACCAAAAATCGCCTTTTTGTGCCAGTAATTATGAAAACAAAGAATTTCAATAGAAAAACTGTAAAAACCAACTGCATTTTTGTGAAGAAACTCCCAAAAAACATGGGTTTTAAAGGGACATACTAAAAAAACTAAGATTTGAAGTAAAGATGTATAAAAACATCTATTTTCAAACGAAAAACGATAAAGGCTCGGTTGTTTGAATGCAAATAATTATAAAATCCACCTTTTTCCTAAAACCGACGTTCAAGAGCGGAACGTTAAACATTTAGCTGTTCGTTAACATACATTTAAAATTCGCGGCATTTTCAAGCGAAAAAACTATAAAAATTGAATTTTTGAAGCAAATACGAAATTTCCAGTCGTAAAATTTGAAGCGCTGTTTTGTGCGCGAGCCAAAAAGCCCATCGGGTCCGCGGCTTGGGGCTTCGTTTCGCTCCGAAATTGGACTTGCTGGGCTTCGTTTCGGCACCCAACACCTTGGAATTGCTGTGGAAATTGGTGATGCCCTCCAGGAGCAGAAGCCGGACAATTCTTTTTTGCGGGGGCTCTTCGCGGCTTCAAATTTGGTCGCTGGCGGGTAATTAGGGAGGTGGCGGATTATCTTTACCTGGGTGTTTTTTGGAAATCACAATGGGAATGTGGGATTTATCAACTGGACCGAGCAAGGGAATTGAGGAGAAAATGTCAATGTGTTTCTTTAATCCGTTTTTATTAGGGGACTGAATACATAAGTTTTTAAATTGTTTTCGTTTATCCTTGTCAAGGCTCTCCGTAAACATACGAGGTGTTTTTACATTATTTTTTAATATTAATGCAAAAGCGTTAGCAGTTTTACTAAAAACTACAAAATTTTGAATTTTTTGATTTTTTGAGGTTTTCTAGATGGTTTTTCTTCCTCTTGAAATATAGTTGTCATTCTGTCTGAAACGTTTTAGAGGTAAAAAGATAACTAATGTTTAAAAAGACCAAAAACCATTAAACCCAGGAAGCAGAAAAAAACAAAGAATCGAAGCTTCACACTTGAAATTTTAAGTGTTGTAGATGGTCAAAAACCTTTGTAATTTGTTTCATAACATTCAAAGCAATTGAGAAAGCCGTTTCCAAAGCAAAAAAGAATCAAAGCTTCCAGCTCAATCTGGCTCGATTAATCACTTGTAAATCCGTTAATTCGTGCATTAATAGACACTAAAACTCAATTAACCACAAAATCGCCCATCAATTTACACAGTTAAGAATAGAAAAGCTATTTTAAAGACTCCCCCGGGAACAAATCGGCACGTCAACCCTCGCAAATTACAGGGAGCCGCCTGAATGGCAAATTCGTCGGTTGACAGCTTCCCCAAGGGAAAAGGCCAAAACAAAATTAATAACCCCTTCCGCATGGACAGCTCATGAAAAAAGAAAAACAAGAGAAGCGGGAAAAAGGCGAAAATGGGCTGGCGGCCCCGGGGCGGTTACCATGACACAATAGGGGGCAATTAGCCGTTTTCAGAACGGCCAGGTTTGTTTGCACCTGGTGGGGGTGAGGTGTTAGGCGAACTTGTCGAAGTTTTGGATAAAGAATGCACCTGTGAATGGCTCGTGACAGGCATTTTCTAGGGTTTCAGCAAAAGGCAAAAACTCGTAACCTCGTCGGGGGTTGAACCCGGACCCCATGGGTGGTTGGCGCGGAACCATCCCATTCGGCCGACGCGTGCCTGGTGGCGAGGTGAGGAAAGGTTCTCTTCACGCTAAGGGAAGGACCTTAGGCGCTTATAGCCCAAAAACCCTGTCAGCTGAATTTGCTATGTTTTTCTATTTTCTGCCCCCAACCACCGTAACCATGTGCATTTCCAACTTACTCCGTAATTACAGTATATCAACTTTATACGGGGGTACCTCTTAATCACGACGAAAGCCAGCCGGATACAGTCTATTATATCCGAAAAATGCAAAGTAAAAATAAAAATAAAAACACAACACCGAGCGAGATTGGCCAATTAGGGAGGGCGAGCACAAAAAAAAAATAAAAAAACGTAGCATGAAAAATAGACAAAAATGTACAATATGCCGGGCAACAAAATACGGAATACAGAAGAGTACAGATAACGTTTTGTATGCGTGTGTTGTGTGAGATCTGTTCGGGACCCAGTTTGAGGAACAAATAGCACACTAGTGGACAATGGAGGGAAGTGGTTTAGGCTTAGGTTTACGCTTAGAGTTATGCAGTAATAAATGAAAAATCTAAATAATTTTGGCAAGACGTTTAATTGATTAAGCTATGAAAATTCCGTCGATTGGAGGATACAGAACAGAATTTTTTTACTTAACAATCCTTTTAAAACAATACTAAGGCAAGAAGGGGATAATAGGCAGCTATTTTTGGGGGTTTCAAGGGACCGGGAAGGCAAAAATGGTGGCAAAAATAGTTGGCGATTTGCCAAAAATAAATTGTTTGGCTACCCGGCCCCTGAATTATGCAAATTCAAACGTTAACAGACAATAAATCTAATGTATTAAGTGCTAATCAAGGCGAAAGCTCATGGCCGATCGGTTGAAGCTGGCTGGGTGAAGGGCAGCTCGACGAATTGGAAGAGTTCCTCCTCGAACTTGTCCTGGTCGAAGTGGTACTTGGCGTCGAGGAGGGAGTCGCAGAAGAAGCTCCACCGGGCACGGTAGTAGCCGCTGATCATTCCACCGTATTCACGGCGAGCTGAAAATAGGGGAATGTTGCAGGGTTTCTTGGGGATTTGGCAATAATTTTTCTCGCTCAGTTTCGCTCTCTCTCTCTCTCTCTCTCTCTCTCTCTCTCTCTCGCACTCTCCCTCTCTTTCTCTCTCTCTCTCTCTCTCTCTCTCTCTCTCTCTCTAGCTCTCTCTCGTTCTCTTTCTAGCTCTCTCTCGTTCTCTCCCTCTTCTCTCGTTCTCTCCGTTCTCTCTCCCTCTCTCTCCCTCACACTCTCTCTCGCCCTATCGGTCTCTCTCTTTCACTTTCTCTCGCTTCCTATCTCTCTCTTTCTCACTCTCTCTCGCTCTCTCTCTCTGTGTCTCTTAACACTCTAGCCCTAGAAACTACCGTATACCTACCGTAATCAACAATCTGCCCCTCCGGACCCCACAGCGTGAGCATCAGCCTCATATTGTGCTCAAGAAGATCGCTCTCCTCCTTCGTACTCCCCCAACTTCTCGCCTGCCGTATCAACGGCTCCAGTTGCACGTTTGCCGTCTCATCGAGAAGCTAAATCAACAAAAATTTAGCTGTGACAGCGCAACGATACCATGAACGCCTGGTCGACCTCTGTGCAGGACTCGCGCAGACTCGGCTCATCACCGATGGCGAACGCCTCGTTTATCCGCAAAATCAGCTTATTGCCGAGGGTGTACTGTAGCGCCTCGCGGAGTATGTCGGCGTAGTCTTTTCTGAAAAATTTAATATAGATAAAAATAAGAAAAATTGATTTTAAAAGGGCCGGAAAGGCACGGAGGTTTTAAAGAATTGGTTGTAACTTTGTTGTTGCCGATTGGACCGGCTTGAAAATTGGCATAGCGCTAGAAAAAGCTTTTTTAAAGTCGCATGCAAACTTTCGGAAAAATTAAGCAGGTAGTTTACGAGTTATTATACAAAGACTGTGTTTCCGGCCGTATTTTAAGTCTTTTGCTCATAGATTGGCTATTTGAAGCCCAAAAAGTCTCAAATTTTCGCAAAAAATCCGAAATGCTTTGACAAATTCGTATGCAAATTTTCAACCCCATAGATACAGTAATTCCAGGTTTACGGTATAAATACCGTACCTGAACATCTCGTTGGTGCCGAGGCTCTGATTAAGCGCTGCGAACGAGTTGATGATGCGCGGGAATAACCGCGTGTCGAACCAGTACTGAAAAATTGTGATATTCTTTGATTAAAGGACCAGAGAAGACAAATCCATAGGCCCAAAACGATGACGCTACCTTTATCCGCTGGCCGAGCTTTGGCCGTTTGTAGATGAAGACGTCAAAGTGGGGTTTTGTGCTCGGGGGTTCGCTGTAGAACGTGTCGGACAGGAGGGTCCAGAGCTAAAAAACATGGAAATTGGATTGAAAAATGGTATTAAATGCTTAGCATATTTTTTACAAAACTTGCACAATTTCCACATTTTAAAATAAAACATGACTTTAAAACGAACCTTATGAACGGCTGGAACGGCTAACCGGGATACGCTATAGCGACTTCGCGCGAAGCTCATCAACCTGAAATGATAATGAGCTTAGGATTGGCTTAGGCCTGGCTTAGGCCCAAGCTTAGGCTGAAGCTTAGGATTAAACTTGGGCTTTGCTTGCTTCAAAACTTACCAAGTCGATAATTCCGCCCTCTCCTCCCCCCAGAACGCGTCGATGGCGTACTGGTAGAGGACGTAGTTCTGGTTGATCGCCTCCATCACCAGGCCACCACCCACCAGATTTGGAGCCGACGCCAGGGCTTGTTCCCAGAACTGAAAAAGTGCATTAAAATCGATAGATGATACAAATTAGAAGTTTCCAGATTTTAAAGCTTCAGGAGGTTTTCGATTTGCGTACCTTTCCTATCCGCTTCAAATTCCCGTGCATCTGCACCGAGCCGCCAAAATTATGGAGTAGACACCAGACAAAGGGTTGGCCCCAGAAATTGTTGAAAGCCGGGTAGAGGGGAGCTTCATCACCGAAAGTGTCGAGAACCTGCAGAAATTGCTTTTTTCTCTCTCTCTCTCTCTCTCTCTCTCTCTCTCTCGCTCTCTATTTGCTCTCTGCCTCTCTCATGTCCCTTTCCCTCTCTCTTTCGCTACCGCTTTCCCGCTCTCTCCCTCTCTCCCTCTCTCTCTCTCTCTCTCCCTCTCTCTCTCTCTTTCTCTCTCTCTGTCCCTCACTCTCTCTCTATCTCTCTTTCTCTCTCTCACTTACCAGCATTCTCCCCTTCGGCACGGCAGTCAGAAACTCCTTGACGTGTCGTGAGGTCCAGCCGGCGTCCTGGAACGCCCAGCCTTGTACGACCCTGAAAATCGACTTTATTTTTGTCAGCAAAATGCGATACTCCGGTCCTTGTCAGTCGCTTTAAAAACCCACCAGACGCATTTCGGATCAACGCTCCGGCAGCCCTCATAAATCGCTTTGGCCGTCTGGGCGAACACGGCATCCGGATGTGTTCGATGTGGGGTCCTAGATTACGGTAGAATGGGTCGTATGATTAGGCTTAGGCTTAGGCTTAGGCCAGACGACTCACTTCTTCGCCTTGCTCATCGCCTTCAGATCCGGGAAATTCTCGATGAACGGGTCGGCCGAGTAGACGTTCTGGATCACGTTGCCGTAGTACTTCTTTTGCTGAAAAATTAATATTTATTGGGGTTTTGGCAAGGACCGCTGCTTGTCTGCCCTCAAATTCCTCAAAAATCTCCGCTAACCCTCCCACCTTCTCCAAAAACATCCTTCCAATCTTCTGAAAAAGTGGATCACTGGGCGAGAGGCTGTAGGTGCCGTTGAACTTGTTCCACGGCCTGTTCTGCCGAAGCGTCGCGTTCGGGAAGCTTCTGAAATATTTTTAGAACATTAAATTCAATCCAATATAGAGTAAATAACATAAATAATCGCCAATAAGATTTATAAGCAGATTTCTCACTTCAAAATCGCGGCCGGCACGATGCCATCGAACATTGGCATGACGGGGACGATGCCGAGGGCTGAGAGACGGGTGACAATCTGCGAAATTGAAACTTTTTAGAGGATAAAGCTCTATGTTTTCACATTCATATTGTCGAAATTCCCAATAATTACCGCAGCCTCAAAATTACCTTCAAATTGAGCTCAAGCTGTTGCTTCAAAATGTGGTCGGAAACGGGGCCGCCATGAGATTGAAGGTTACCCATCCATTGCCTTAAAAAGAAAAATTTGAATAGATGAAAAATATAAAAAATAGAATTATAAATTAAAATTAAATAGTCTCTACCAGGATTGGAATGGCGGACCGACGAGCCAGCTTCTGAGGTCGGCTTCTGGCACTCCGAGGTCCAGCCAGACCTCTTTCCAAAGGTAGTCCTGGCCGAGGGGGGTTAGCACCATGTTGAAGCCGTCTGGAAAATGGAGTTTATCTCTCCTCTCCTTCTCTCTCTCTCTCTCTCTCTCTCTCTCTCTCTCTCTCTCTCTCTACAGCTCTCCCCTTCTCTCTCTTCTCTCTAACTCACTCAACGCTAGCCAGTCGATAAACGGCTGCCACTGCTCCCATTTCCACCAGGCAAAACTGTACGAGTACGTCACCGGGTTCCCGAAGAAGCGAATCCTGGAAAATTAGGGTAAGAATCAAAAAGACAATATCTACAATAGTCTTAAAAAACTCACGGTGGCGAATCGAGGGCCACCTCGTGCTCCCTGACTCGGTCGCAGCCTCCGGAAAATGAGCTGCCATCCCAAGCTATTTGGCTTGCGCAAAATGTGCGTAGGTAGTACTAGAATGGAATATAAGAGACGGTGGTTCGGAGAGAGCGAGAGGAAGGAGAGAGAGCACGAGCGAGAGAGAGCCTATTGCTTACATTAATGCCATATAGCGCATCAACCGCACTCTCGGCTGCCAGAATCTTATCACCGTCCGAGTCGATGGAAATGCGGACGGAGCCTAAAAAGTTGGTAAACTTTGTTTCTCTTTCTCTCGCTCTCTCGCTCGCTCTCTCTCTCTCGCTCTCTCTCGCAAAAAGTACATTCCATCTCATCATCCCCCAAAAATAACACCAGCCCACCTTTCCGCAAACTTTTCGCACTTCCGATTTGGATATCCGGGAATTCGTCGGCCACCTACAAAAACATCAAATTAATCCTGTTTACCGCCCGGGGCACCGTACCCAGTTCGGCAGCCGCGAAATGACGCCCTGGAACTCGTCGGGGTCGACTTGTGGCGCTAAAATCTGAAAAAGGCGAGCCGACGGTTACGGTAGCCCACAGTAACCCCACCTCTAAACTTCTAACAATTTGGAAATGTACACAGCAAAGTAACGTGGCCAACAGCATCTGTTTCTGCAAAAAAAGGTTAGAAATTCCGATATTCGCATTAAAAATTGAGAATGAAAACAGAAAATTAATTAGTACTATTAAAAATTAAAAAAAATACAGTTTTAAAAGCTACAGTAATTCAATGCAACAATTAAAACAACGTTTAATTTTCAAAATTCTCAGTATAGGCAATTTTTCGCGTCCTACAGTACTGTAAAGTGGAGCACCGCGTAGCCTAACCGTCCCTATGTTCAAATCGCAAAAACAGGGACGCCGGAAGTGGGGGCGGGGATTGAAATACTAAAGAGTATCCTTCCAGCCTGGAGAAGGCCGGATTACGGTAGCAGATCCAGGGCTTAGGGGGGTAAAAAGGGAAAGTTTTCGTCTTTTTGTGCAATGCACGCCATTCGAGGGATTTTAGGGGCACTTCCAGGATTGGAAGAATGAAAATTCTGAGAGCCAGGAAGTTGAGAATGGACAGATCATCTTCTCCAAGACGTGCGTCTTGGCGACATGATTTTCGAATTTCACGCAAAGATTTTGGTTTTGTGACCTGGAACGTGGATAGGAATGCACGTAGTTTTTTAGGCTTAGTCTTAGGTTTTGCTGAGTATTACGCTTAGGCATAGGCTTAGGCTTAGGCTTGGGTTTGGCTTAGTTTTTCAATTGGCAAAAAAGTTCAGGGAAAATCCAATTTTACACCATAAAACGAAAAACTAGCTTGCAACGTGAGCAGATTCTGACAAGGCAGGCGGGGGAACGGTCTAGCCTGGGCGTTACGCTTATCTTTCGCCGGGCCCTGGGGGCGCCTGTAATAAAAAAGCGTCACAAATTCCGCGAATACCCGGAAGTTATTGCAGTGAGAGAGAGGAAGAGAGAGAGAGAGAGAGAGAGAGAGAGAGAGAGAGATAGTGAGAGAGAAAGGAAGAGAAAGGAGAGAGACGCACAGGTACGTTTTTATCGCGTCTGCAGCGCAAAAAAAGTGCAGTCAGAATTTGCTGGGGGTCAGAGAATTTTGGCACTACTTTTTCGAAAAAGCTTGAACTGAGCTACAAATTAGTGGAAACCACAATTTTTGAAACGGTAAAATCAACACTGACAATTAAAAAACAAATGAACACATTTTTTGTACGTTTTATACGATAAACACGTTTTTATTTTATTTTTTTAAACTTATCTTAAAGGTGGAACCAAGGCACAACCCTTCCGTCGCGTGTCGCCGGTGCTGCAAAATTCCACCGCTATTAGTGCGCGAACATCCCGGAACGTTTGGATTTCCATTCCCTTTTATACCCGCTCGGCAACATTGCCCTAATCCGATTCCGGATTCCCCAATCCCGAATCCCGAATTCCCAATTCCGAATGGCGACTTTTTACACCCCACTACACACTCACAACCTTTTGTAGTCTTGCGGAAATTAAAGTTGCGTGAATCCCTACCGTAATACTCTGCCGTACTCGCACCAGATAAACAGATTAGCGTTTGTTAACCTACTTTTTGGATTTACGCTAGCCCCGCCGATTTGGAGCGTCTGGACGGGGTAACTAATTATTTTCAAAGGTTTCTAACAGGATTTTGAGGGGTTTGAAGGGACTTGGAAGCCATTATTTTAAGGCTTTTAAACAGGAAAGTTGATGTTATAGAAAAAGGTATTTTAATGGAATGGAAAAATTGGTTACCGTAACCTCAAAAAATCACGAAATTCTGTCATAATCTGGCCTCAAAAATTGCTCTCAAAATTCACGGCATTCAAAAATGTGCTCTGTTCTAATCGGAGATGCGATTTTCACCAAATTCCGCCGGCTCTTCCGGGTTTTTTGGGGTGCGTTTTCGCGTCTGGGGATTAATGTACCAATTTGTAGTTTGTAGTGTCATACAAACTACACAAATTTAAACTCAGCTCCAATCAAAGAGTGATGAGTCCGTTTTGACGGAAAATCCGAAATCCGAAAGTCTGCTGATGACGGGGCTATTTTGGTATCGTCATCGGTTTTAGAAAATACAAATCCCTTCCGCCCTCCCACGTTTCAGATGACAATTTGAATTCGAACATTTGTAATAGTGGAAAACGATGATTTTGTTAGTCTTAAAAATACATAGGTTTTAATACTTTGCGCAAGCGTAAGCTAAGCTAAGTCTAAGCTAAGCCTAAGCCCAAGGTCAATAAGCCTAAGCTAAGCATAACCCTTGAAATTACCCAGAATCGTTCTTAACCCTCGAAAATCCGTACTTTACAGTAGCCGAAGATAAATCGCCTCATTTTTCTAATCCGACGCCCCACGTGGGATTGGATTATCGCATTAGTGCCGAACCATGCTCCAAGAAAAAATTAATCTAGCCTTCTCTCTCTGTCTCTCTCTCTCTCACTCTCTCTCGCTTTCTCTCGCCCGCCACCTATCCTAATCCGCTGCTTTTTCTCGAATTATCTCCGCCAAATTGGGTGATTCAGAACTTATTCAGAACACGGGGTAATTCAGGGGCCAAAATAGAGTCGCTGGGCCCAGAGGCTACAGAAAGTGGGGTTTCCAGGTTTTAGTAACACTTGAAAATGTTTAGTTAGAGAGAGAAACAGTGAGAGAGAGAGAGAGAGAGAGAGAGAGAGAGAGACAACGACTACCGTACCCTAACCAAAAACTACAAACGACAAATGTTCTGGGTCCAATTTATGGGCCCCAAGAAAACGTGTGTACCCCCCTAAATAGCCAACAGCCCCTTTGAAAAAGGCAATAATTGCCCGGCCTGGAATTTCGTCAGCAGGTCAGAGGTTGTAGCCGTAGAGGTGGGTACCTACGTAGTTGCGCCACACAAAAGAGGTAGTTTTTGTGGCGCCGAAAAAAACATCTCGGGGGAACCCCTGGGTCCCGACTGGGTCCTAGTTGGGCCCTAACTGGTCCCTATTTGCCCTCCAGAAATTGATGGCCGCGAATGTTGCGATCCCGGAATTATGAATAAGGCCAAAAGGTCAGGAAAATAGACGAAAAAAGTGGTTCCGTGAGAAATTGGGTCACGAGATCACGAAATATTGCTGGCACGCTCATAGAAAATTTGTTGCACAAAAGTGGGCAGGCTTAGGCTTAGGCTTGGCTCAGACTTAGGTTCAGGCCTAGGTTTAGCCTTAGGCTTGGCTCAGACTTAGGTTCAGGCCTAGGTTTAGCCTTAGGCTTGGCTCAGACTTAGGTTCAGGCCTAGGTTTAGCCTTAGGCTTGGCTCAGACTTAGGTTCAGGCCTAGGTTTAGCCTTAGGCTTGGCTCAGACTTAGGTTCAGGCCTAGGCTTAGGCTTAGGCTGAGGCTTAGGCTTAGCTTTGGCTTGGGCCTAGGACTAGGTATAGGAAACAGGCTCAGGCTTAATATTAGGCTTAAGTTTAGGCTTACGATTAGGTATTAGGATCAGGCTTGGGCTTAGGCTTAGGCTTTGGGCTTAGGTTAAAATTAGGCCTACGATTGGGCTTCGACTTGGCTTAGGCTTACGCTCAGGCTTAGGCTTAAGCTTAGGCTGGTGCTCAGCCAGATAAGCCCCGAAAATTCCAAATCTCAAACCCACGCTCCAACCATGCTCCCGGCTGAGGACAAGGAAAAGAAAGCGGCCCCGTTTAAAAAGGGGGGCAGCGTGTGACGCAGCGGAAGTCGAGGTGAAAGCTCCCCCAGGAGCCCCTGCACGTGTTCCAGGGCTGGGGGGAAAAGCGGTGGTTGTCTTTGGACTGCGGGGGTAACGGGAAGCAAACTTGGCTTAGGCTTGGCTTATACTCTGGCCTTGGCTTAGACTTGGCTTACGCTTAGGCTTAGGTTAACCTTAGGCTTAGACTTGGACTTGACCTAGTCTTAGGCTTGCTTAGGTTTCAGCTTAGGCTTAGGAGTCTAGGCTTGCGCTTAGGCTTCGGCTTCGGCTTCGGCTTGGGTTTAGGCCTGGCAGAAATTACCGTATACTCGAGCTTTAAAGGTGCAGTGACAGCAAAAGCTCAAGTATTGAATGTGGAAAGGCAGGACACATGGCTAAAAATTGCCTCATATACAGTATGCCTTTTAAGGGCGCTGAGTCGCCAAAATCTCCCGTTCGTCATCACCCGAAGACATTTACCCCCGCCCAAAAAAAACGGGTGCAGCCAGGCCGCAATCTTTGCGCTATTTTGTTCGTGCTCCCCGCGTTTTTAGGAGGGGGTGGATGACGCGCGGCTGGTGGTGGAAAGCCCGATCCGGGGCGGCTCTATGACCGGAAATATTTGAGGTGGAGGGCCCAGGTTGCAGATTTCCATGGGGTCCGCGGAGGGTCCCTTTTTGTCGCTTCCCTTCCTGGTCCATTTATCTGGGCCCTAAGCGTAAGGGGGCCCACCTCGTCACACTATCTTTAGACCCGGAACACTTACCCCCCGCGGCTGATGAAAAGCCGGCACTCGCCGTGGCGTTTGAAGGTACAATGAGGGAGGGCCAGCCCGGATTTGGCTCCTGAACCTTTGGGGTCACGTCTCTGGTGTTGGGGGTACGGTAGATGGGTCATTTTTAGCTTTCAAGCGCTGCACGTAGAACGAGTGAAAGGGAGAGTGAGAGAGAGCGAGAGAGAGAGAGAGAGAGAGAGAGAGAGAGAGAGAAAGAGCTAGAAAGAGCGCGTGTGTGAGCTTGGGCGAGAGAGAGAGAGAGAGAGAGAGAGAGAGAGAGAGAGAGAGAGAGGGCGAAAGAGTGAGAGATATCTAGAAAGATCGAGAGAGAGAGTGATAGAGAGGAAGAGTGAGAGACAGATAGATAGATAGAGAGATTAGGAGAATAAGCTTAATCGGCTAGGCTAACCAGGCAGGCTAGCAAGGATCATTTCGCAATACGATATTTTTCAAAAAATTCCGGAAGCTGACTAGTGACAGGAAAATAGCTAAAAAGTGGGCGCAACGTCCAGATCTTCTCCCAAGTCCTCCATACCGCAAGATAAATGCTCGGGGGGCACGTCAACGGGCGGGGGAGGAGGGGGAACGCCGTGAATAGGATGGGAAAGTTCCGTATGAATACGTGATTCCGAGACTACGGTGGTTC